CTATGGGAGTCTTGGGCATTTTAACATGGGGCGTCTATGGGATTGACTCCCTTTTGCAGCCAGCCTCTAGCGGCCAGTTGACGAATTACAGTTTAAATCACTTCCGTGTTGGCTTCACGAGAGAGAGAGAGCGGGAGGTTGCCGCTTGGTAAATACATGTAAATATTTTCAAAATATATACTGTATATCATATATGTGTATTTATATATACATAATAACATACACAGTGCACACACATATAGTATGTAAACAAAAACTTTTATTTTGGATGCGATTAATCGCGATTAATCGTTTGACAGCACTAATATATATATATATATAATTAGCTTAGGTTTAGAGTTTTGTGACTTTTCAGTCAGATTTTTGTATTTAAACAGTTTAAATATATAAGAGCAAGACATATTTTAACGGTTTGTTTTTATTATTATTATTATTGCTGGAAAATTAGGTATAGCTTTTAATATAGTGCATTTTTTCGTCCAACTCATCAAATTATTAAATGAAATGAAAAACATTTTAAAAAGACGTTATTCCAATAAGAATTACAAAGAGATCAGTTAAAAAGCTGAGCCACTAGAATTCAGTATATTTTCTTATATATCGTTGAAATTGAGCTTTATAGGATTACATTTTCTGTCACTTTTTAGTCCGATTTTGATATTTTGATATTTTACACGTAAGTATAGATTTAATCCGAGCAAAACATACTGTAACGTTTTTTTATTCCCGTTGTAAAATTCGGTATAGTTTTTAATATAGTGCTTTTTTTCTTGCATCCTGATATGTAACACATTGTGTTTTTACTGTGTTCACATAAAATAAAACATTATAAAATATAATTAAATTAAATGAAAACATTTTTAAAAGCTTGTATTTATAGTTTACATAAAAGCTAGACATATTTTAACGTTTTTATTATTGTTCATATTGTTTCATTATTGTTCACATAAAATAAAACATCATAAAACATAATAACATTGTGTATATAAATATATATATATAAATATAAAAACGATCGCGTCCAATCAGAGTTTAGCTGTCGTGTCCATGAGGTGAACGGTAACTACGGCAAGCTGAAGCGGTCAGAAAGAGCGGCGCTGAGTAAACATCAGCAGGACTTCACTGTTACTCCTCTGCTCTGAACAAATAGAGCGAATATTCACAGCAGGTGAGTGCATCTGCATGTGTATGTTGTTATATCGCTGTAAGATGCATTAGGAGGAACGCAGACAAGCGTTCAGGTGACTGTGTAACGGGCAACGTCTAGACTGCTCTTCCTGTAACTTAATATTTCAGTATTCATATCTATCTGTTTAGTCTTTCACACGCTTAGCGTTGATTGTATTTAGTAATTGTGTTATTGCTTTCCTCCACGAGCTCTTTCGTTCTTCGAGTTCTTCCATATGTCAGCCACATGCGCCCATTTCTCAGATTTGTGGATAAAAATATACAGTTGTTTCAGTCTAGATATTTTGTATAATGGTTTTGATATTGTGTGTTTGCTGTCATTGGTCAGATGTCCGTCAGCAGTAATGAAGGGAGCCGTCGTTCTTCTTCTCGCGTGAACTCGTCTTCTTCTCGCGTGATTTCAGTGTAATGAGCTTGAAAGGCAGGTCTGAGCAGCTGAGATTGTGGAGCTGGGTCCTGCTCTGCTGCAGCTGTGTGCTGACTGTGTGGGCGCATGGAGGACAGCATGGAGGACAGCATGGAGGACAGCATGGAGGAGCAGCTGCTTCAAAGCAAGTGCCTCCACCAATCACCCGGCTGGACAGGAATATGGTTCAGGATAAAGAGTGAGTAGGTTTCCATTACTTCAAAACTTGTTTTTAGGACCTATGCACATATCCGAAGCTGTTCATGTGATATGCATGTCCATAGTGTTTGTTGATTTAGCTTTGATTCTTTTCTATCTGTCCGTCTGTCCGTCTGTCCGGCTGTCCGGCTGTCCGGCTGGCCGGCTGTCTGGCTGTCCGTCTGTCCGTCCGTCTGGCTGTCCGTCTGGCTGTCCGTCTGTCCGGCTGTCTGGCTGTCTGTCTTCCAGCTAATAACATGTCAGGAAAACAAAGGTCATACTCAATCCATCCTCAGAACTTTAGGATGCTTTACAAAGTTTAGAATGATTAAGATTTTTGAAATGTCACCAACGCTGTTCGTGTGTACCAGTTTACAGTTCGGACACGCCTACGCATAGTTTATTATTATTATATTAATGAATAATATTAACTTTAGAATGACACGTATAAATGTTTTTTAAATTTAATTTGAATTTAAATGTAATTTTATAATTGTAGCTCAAGTACACTTGTTTCAGCCTCTCTTTCTATCATTTATCATGTAATTTTTCTTTGTTACACCTATAATATTGTCACCTGGTCTTGGTTTTTCAGGAACGAGGAGATGATGGCCAGCCAATGAGGGAAGAGGATCTCATCAACCTCATTGATGACGTTCTCAGAGACGATGACAAAAACAATGATGGCTACATTGACTATGCAGAGTTTGCGAGGTCTCTGGAGTAAAAGAGGACAGGAAGAGCCGCTGCCTTACTGTGAATGCAGATTACCTCTGATGTACAAATCTCCAGCACATTCCTTCACGTGTGTGCGATTTCACAGGCACAGTATATTCGTGCTTCAGTATAACCTGTATAAAGTGTCATACATATCATATTAGATGTTTCAACAGTGGCCAAGAACACCAGGTGTGAGGCAACAAGTTTCCAGCGATAAGTAATTTGTGTGGCACAGCCAATCAGAAATGATTAAATGTGAGTAAACGTTTTCGCATTTACAAAATGTTTTTACCAATAAAATTCTTTATAGCTGCTATTTATTTTAAATTTTTTTCCAGATTTTCTAACTCATGAGTAAAGTTAAGAATATTTAGAGTTCTGTAGCTATTCTCAAACATTTCTTAAGAACTAGTGCTGTCAAACGATTAATCGCGATTAATCGTTTGACAGCACTATTAACCCTTGTGCGTCAATTAAAAAAAAGTTACACATAGGTCCATAGTGGACAACAATGTCCATGTCAAAAAACTGTCATATAAATTTGAAGCTTGGGAGCACAGGGTTAAGTTTGGTCTCATTTTAAAGAAGAGCCATGGCAGATTATTGTTGAAGTAAAAAAAGTTTAAAAAGTGAAACAAAAAAAAAGTTCTAGATGTTTAGGTTTATGAAAATGATTTATGACCGATATTTTATATAAAATATATATTTTATGAAACATGTTGAACTCGATACCTGCTAGAAATCTAAACAAGTTGTGTTCCAAATTTGAGGTTGATATCTCAAAAAATGAGCTTTCAGTAAGATTTTGTTTGGGCGCAGTACCACATTTTCCCCATTAGATGCCAGCAAAACTCTGCTGGCGCACACAGTGGTTGGATTTGTGATTTGCAGTAGAGCTTTTCTCTCTCAAACATTACAAGAACACACACACACACACACAATTTTTTTTAATTTTTATGACACACATACAAACCACACTCTGACATCCATACCAACACACCCACACAAGTATAGCTGCAAAAATTTATCCAATTGGCTCTATAATATGCAGAAGCAGAAAACAGAAATAAAGTGAGTAATTTCTTTATAGGTGAAACCTAAAAAAAAATGGCACCATCTGGTAAAAAAATTGTAAAAAAATTTAATTTTAA